CATCTCTTCAACCGCAGCGTCTCCTGATCTGGCGGCCTCACCTATCTGAATAATAATAATAATGATACCTATAATAAAACACTCGCACTGTCGAGCTCCTCTGCAGACAGGCGGGGGTGAGGGTGAGCAGGACGCTGCTGGACACCCGGTTCCCACTCTCCACCTGCCCTGGGGGACCTGGAAAACCTTGTGTTCTCCCTTGGGCTGAGTCAGGCCGATGTTGTCCTGAAGGTCAGATAGGATGGTGGCATGGAAACCACATGAACAGAGACGGGTTCCTGGCGAACCGGCTGAATCCTGCGCTGTTCCTGCCTCCTCAGTGGCCCCCAGGCAGCCCCCACATAGATCACCACTGAGTCCCCACACGCACCTGAGCTGATTAAACCATTGCCCACACTTTCAGATTAGGACACTGCCCAGGGCCGCAGAGCTGCTGTAGGGTGAGCTGTGCAGAGTCGCCATGCAGCCCTGACCCACAGCGCAAACCATCAGACAAGCTCAGGATGGCCGTGTTCAGACAAACCACACTTGGGCGTCTGCACCACCTGGACAAGCAATTTAAGTTTCCGGCACCTTGGTTTCCGCATCTGCAGGCAAGGATGACAAGGTCGCCATCTCAGACGGCGCTGTGGGGGCACATGGGAGGCTCGGTGGAGTGGCTGGCACTCACTCGGAGTGCTCACCTAAACGGTACCAGCGTGCCACCTGCCTTGCAGTCATTTCTTGTATCAGCCAGAACAAATAACCACAGCCAGGTGGCTTCACACAGCAGGACTTTATTCTCTTGGTTACGGAGGACAGAAGTCTGAGGTCAAGGCGGTGGCAGGGCCGCGCTCCCCAAGGGCTCCAGGGGAAGGTGCTTCCTCGTCTCTTCCAGCTCCTGGTGGCTCTGGCCCTCCTTGGCTTGTAGCTGTGTAACCCTTGCTGGCCTCCAACCTCACGTGGCCTCCCCCTGCTCTCCAGTGTCCCTCCTCTCCTTTCCTGTATTGTCAATGACACTTGTCATTGGATTTAGGGCCCACACAGATACTCCAGGACGAGCTCATCTCAAAATCCGTGTATCTGCCAAGGCCCTTTTCCCCAGGAAGAGCTCATGCACAGCTTCCAGCAACTGGGATGTGGACACATCTTCTTAGGCTACCGTCGGCCACAACACAGATGGGGCAGGCATTGGCTCTGTCCTCCTTGCAACACCGGGAGCCGCTGCTCCCCCAGCGGAGGCTCCCTCCATGCGTTCCACCTGCACCAGATCCCTCCCAGGTGAGAAAGTGGAAGCATGGCCTAGATGGTGGGCAAACACGAGAAGGGGCTGTGGGAGGGGTTGGGGTGATGGAGAAACCATGGTTGGTGGCTGCCTGGGCCTGGCCGGGGCTGGGCGAGCTGCACAGGACGTCCTCCCTAAGAGCTTCACCCCAAGCTGCCTCAAACAACTGCCCTTGCCCAGCACAGTCTGAAGTGCCCAATAGAAAGCGGCCCGAGAAATTAGCCCATCCCACTCCCAGTGGCTCTTGACAGGGGAAGCCCTCCATGGGCACAGGGTTGTGATCGCCGTCGGAGACCTGGGATAGGAGACTGCTACCTGGGATAGAAGCCGGGCGCCTTGCCTGGCTTGAGGATCTGCGAGGGATCAAAACTCTTCACCTTGCGCACTGTGGCTGACGCTGAGCTCCCCATCCCACCTCCGATGGCGAGGCGGCCAGGAGGGACCCAGGCAGGTGGTCTCCCTCTGTGTGTCCCTCTGGGCCCCCGGTGACTGCAGGGGACCGGAGCTACCAACTAAGTTAATAGAGATGCTCGAAGTTTCACCCAAACAGGAGGCAGGTAAGGCGGGCTTGGAGGGGCTAGTTGAAACAGGCCTGGACAGTGACCTCAGGGAGGAGGTGGAGCCACTCCGGGAGAGGTCCCGGAGACCAGCGAGGACCAGCATCTGGGGCAGAGCCGGCAGGCGGGGTGGCAGCAGGTGCCCCTGGGCCACACGAGCTGTGCTGTGTGTTTCAAAGTCATGTGCAACAATGCTGGGGGCTGGGCAGCCGGCAGGCATCCACCTAGAGCTCCACAGGCTGCTGACTGGTGTTACAGAAGTGATTTCCGAAGCCAAGTCCATTTGAGAAATGTGAAGAGAAACAGCATCTTTACGACCGAATTTCTGGCTTGTGCTAACACACGCTGCACCCCACTCAGGAACTGTGGAGCACAGTCCACGGAAGGAAAAAGTCCCTCACTGAGAACATCTCACTGTCCAGTGTTCTGCAGGGCAGAATGCAGAACACAATCCGTCCACGGCTGGGAGCCCAGCCCCCGAGGCAGACAGATGGGCAGTGAGGGGTCTCCTTAGGAAGGGGTTGGGGCCGCCTCTGCAGACCACCCACAGACGCACTGGTCGGCTGACCCATTAGGAGAGCCAGTCCCAAGCCTGGGCACCCAGGCTTCCTGCTGTCCATAAACGGTCAGTCCAGTGAGAAGGGGAAACCAAGGCACAGAGAAGTTAGGTTATTCTCTCAAGGCCACACAGCCAGGGCCCTGCCCACAGTTCTAGGCCCCCTGTGCCCACAGCCAACCAAAGACTGGCAGGAGCAGCCCAACATCAGTGGGGCAGCCAGAAGGTGGTCCAGCCTCACTGGGCACAGACGGTCTCCATCCACCTGCTCCCTCCCCTCCACGCACCAGGTGAGGTGGGAGCAGGTGGAAGACACTGGCCTGGTGCCCTCAGTTCCCCTGCCAGAGATGCTGAGGAGGAAGGAAAGGCCGGCCCACACGAACAACTCTTTGTTTTAGCTCATTCCTGCAATTCCTGTGAACAGTGCCACACCCTGCCACTTCTAGGGAACTGGCCGGATGTCCTCTGTCCAGCCAGATGGGTCCCAGAGGACATGAAAGGATTTAGGGACCGGGAGGAGCCTCCAGGCAATGAGCGCTGGTCTGAGCAGAGAAGGGCCCGAGAGAGCTGAGGGCAGCCTCGTCACAGGTGAGAAGGCTCTGTCTGCCCCCACCGCACCCCCCAGGTGAGGCACTGGCACCCTCCTCTGCCCTCCGTAGTGGCCCCTGCTCTCAGCCTGGCTCCCCGGGGGATGGGGCTGGCTGGGAAGTTTGCATTTCCTTTGGGAAGGGAAGGTAGGGCAGGATGGCACTGGGAATGCTGGCTAGTTGAAACGTGTGGACACTAGAGCTCGAGGGCGTTGCTGGAGCGGGCTGGGCAGGTGAACCTGTTCTGATGAAAAGGAAGATGCCCCCTCCTGCCGCCATGCCACTCCTCTCTGTAACTCTCTTTCCAGGAACAGAGCCCACCCTCACCCCAGCACGGGGGCCCGAGCACCGGCCTCACCCCCAGCCCTCAGACTCTGAGCCGGAGCCAGAGCACAGCCAGGAGGGTCTGGTTACCTCCCCGGGGAAATTGAGGCTCAGAGAGGGGAGGTGTGTGCCCACCCCACCACCCCACCCCCAGTCACCATGGTCACCACCACAAGCCAGGGTCTGGCCGAGGTCTCCCACTCCCCCTGACTGGGCTCGAAGGACAGGCCACCATCACTGTGTGCCTGGCCACGGCAAGGCACAGGAGCCGAGGCCCGAGCCGCACTCCCCACCCTCCGACTAGGGGCAAGGACAAGCACAAAGAAGGTGCTGGGGGTTGTTCGCGCATGAGGCAGGGGGCTCATGGGGGCCGGAGGAAGCTGCAGGAGGTTGCAGGTCCCTGAGAAGGAGTAAAACCTTGAAGTAGGGCAGGACCTGGGTCAGGCAAGAGGTATTGAGGGCTGTCTGGGCCGGGGACACAGCCCAGGCAAAGGTGTGACAGACAGGGAGGTGTGTGTTGGCAGCTTGATCACTCTCTGTCTGTTTGTCTGTCTCTCTCTCTCTCACCCTGTCTGTCTCATCTCTGTTTCTCTCTCTGTCTCTATCTCTGTCTCTTTGTATCTCTCTCCTTATCTCTCTCCCTGTCTCTGTCTCTCTGTCTCTGTCTCTCAATGTCTGTCTACATCTCTCTGTTTCCCCCTGTCTCTCTGTCTCTCTCTATCTCTCTTCTCTCCCGTGTCTCTCACCCCTGATGCCCTCACGGCTGAGCCTGGGTCCTGATGCCTCTCCCAGGACTAAGAACAGGACCCGTGTGGATCCTGGGGGTGGAGGGATGGCTGGAAAGGGAAGAGCTGCTCTGAGACTCTCTGCCTTTCAGTGCAGCTTCGTATGGCCAATCTCTCGCGCTCTGAGAACATCTGAGAACTTCCTCGGCCTCGCTCCTTGCAAATGGCCGCTTGTATCTGCCCCTCCCCTTGTGTTAGCGGCTCCTGGAGAGGCCCTCTGGCCCTGCCACCATCACCAAAGCCCCTCCCTTGGTTTGAGGCTTCAGAGCAGCCTCCTGAGTGCACCAAGTGTACCGCCGGCAGCATGAGCCCCGGAATTCAGCCTGGCTTAGGCCGGGAGTGCACAGGGAAGGCTGGGGGCTCCCTCCAACTCCTCACACCACATCTTCCCTCCTCCCTCCTCCCTCCTCCTCAGGCCACCTGAAGTCTCTGCCTTTGGGCACCTCCCTGGACACCTCCAGAGACGCTCCGAGGAGAGGACTTCGCCAGCAGGCTGGTCTGGGCTCACCAGGTAGGAGCCCCATGGGGGTCCACCGTGGAGAAGCTCCCACCTCTGGGGGAAGTGGAAGGCCCCACAGGTGTGTTCCCCATGCACGTCCCCTCTGTCTGCAGAGCCTTCCCTGGCACATGGTGGAGGGTGCAGCGTCGCCCTCACCACATCCATGAGGGACGCAGACATCTTTTGAGCACGTTAGTGCACCGTGCCAGGAGCCCAGGGCCTGCCTGCAGGCATGAGGAGGCGTTAGGCACACTTGACCTGAGGTGCAGAGGGCTGAGCCCCGGCTGAGGTCCTGCCGCTGGGAAGGGAGGTCCAGGGGCTGCAGCCAGAGGGCATCTGCAGGGCCATGGATGCCACTCCCTGTGCCCCCAGCAGGGGCACAAAAATGCCCGAGGACCATGTCTGTCTCCCTCTTGCAGGTCCCTCGCCAGCACCCTCTGAGCCGGCCAGGATGTTCGGGCTGTTCAGCTTCTGGAGAACCTTTGACAGCGTGGTCTTCTACCTCACGCTGATCGTGGGCCTTGGGGGACTGGTAGGTAACGGGCTGGTGCTCTGGAACCTCGGCTTCCACATCAAGAAGGGCCCCTTCTCTGTCTACCTGCTGCACCTGGCCGCCGCCGACTTCCTGTTCCTCTCCTGCCACATGGGCTTCTGCGTGGCTCAGGCTGCCCTGGGTGCCCAGGACACACTCTACTTCGTGCTCACCTTCCTGTGGTTCGCGGTGGGGCTCTGGCTGCTGGCGGCCCTCAGCGTGGAGCGCTGCCTCTCCACCCTCTTCCCCACCTGCTACCAGGGCTGCTGGCCCAGACACGCCTCGGCCATCCTCTGCGCCCTGGTGTGGGCCCTGACCCTGCCGGCCGTGCTGCTGCCCGCCAACGCCTGTGGCCTGCTGCGCAACAGCAGGCGCCTCCTGGTCTGCCTGCGCTACCACGTGGCCAGCGTCATCTGGCTCCTGGTGCTGGCCTGTGTGGCCTACACGGCTGGCGTGGTCCTCTTTGTCTGGGTGACCTGCTGCTCCACGCGCCCACGGCCCAGGCTCTACGGCATCGTCCTGGGCGCGCTGTTCCTGCTCTTCTTCTGTGGCCTGCCCTTGGTCCTCTACTGGAGCCTGCGGCCCCTGCTGAACTTCCTGCTGTCCATGTTTTTACCACTGGCCACGCTGCTGGCCTGCATCAACAGCAGCGCCAAGCCCCTCATCTACTTGGCGTCGGGCCGGCAGCCCGGGAAGCGGGAGCCACTGCGGGTGGTGCTTCGGAGGGCCCTGGGGGAGGGTGCCGAGCTGGGTGCCAGGGAACAGTCCCTGCCCATGGGCCTCCTATAAGTGGGCTTGCCCCACCCACAGGGCCTGCCAGGAAGTGCCCACCCCCCTACCCTCGCCCACCCCGCACCCAGATGCTTCCAGGACCGGGAGGAGCCCCACCCACCACCTAGCTCTTACCCTGAGCACCCAAGGGCTGGACACAGCTGGGGAGACTTGGCCCTGACCACCCCCTGGCCAGGCCTGCTGAGGATGAGGGAGGCAGGAAAATGAAGCTGGAGAGAGGTCGAGCAAGGTGGGAGAAAGGAGAAGCCTCCTGAATAGGGGTGAGAACGGGCACCACGCCCCCAGGCCCAGCCCAGATCCCCTCACCCGGCCCCTCTCCACCCTGCTGCACCTCAGTCACAGGGGAGAAAACTGCGAAGTAAAACAGAGCCAGCCCCCAGCCCACAGTGGCTGGATTGGAACTCAGGCTTCTGGACACCTGGGCTAGGTGGGCGCTGTCCATGCCACCTGCTGGCTGAGACTCTGATTCTCCCACTACAGAGTTGGAGTGGAACTACTCCTTACTCCCCGCCCCGCTCAGCCATCATTGTCCTGCCCGCCCCACGGGGACCACACCAGGGCTCTGTCCCCCTCTCTGAGGCCCCAGGATGGGCAGATGACTGATGTCACCAGCAGAAGCCACCAGGTGGTGCTGTTTCTGTAAGAACAGACCCAGCCCCGTGGGCCGGCGGACACAGGAGCCTCCATCCCCTCGGTCCGCTCCCGTCCCCTCGGTCCGCTCCCGTCCCCTCGGTCCGCTCCCATCCCCTCCCACACTGGTCCCCACCAGGCCTCTCCTGAGTCTCCAGGGCCATCTGCTCTCTGCGGGGTTGCTCGAGTCTCCCACCTCTGTTTTCACCCTCCCTCCTCAGCCCTGGGACGTCTGGAGCTTTTGCCCCCAGGGTTTGCTTTGGGGAGAGAGAGAGAGAGAGAGAGAAAGGAAGGAAAAGAGAGAGAGAGAGGAGGTGAAGCCAAATTTCCAAAGCACAAACCATTTGATGTGTTTTCTGACCATGAAATAAAATACTTTCTGGTCATTGTTAAAATATTCAAGCTCTGTAGAAAACACTAAAAAGATAAATCGCCGAAATATTTTTCCACTCAGAGGGGACATTTTTTATGAAAAGCACTCCAGTCATGTATTTTTTTTTAATAAAGACCAGCAGAAATTTTCTTTTTGCCCAAAGGAAGGCACTCAATGGGTGCTATTGGTGCCAGGTGGGACATTCTGCAGCTGCCTTTGAATAAAGTTGTTCTTTTTCCACTAGAAAAGTAATATGTTGCTCATTTATGGAAACCTTGAAGAACCTTAAAAACTGGAAAGAAAAAAAGCTTACATGTAGTCCCCCAACCCAGAGACATGCGCCTTTGCTGGTTTTTCTTCCTTCCCCGGGATAAACGTGTTCTGGTCACGCCAAGTCCCCCGCCCCCCTGCCCGCTGCCAGTTCTCCCTAGACCGTGCCCTCAGGACAGGCAGCTCAGCAGGGAGTGTGGGTGCCGTTTGTTGGTCTAAAGGCCATCTAGGGGGCTCAGGAGGAGGAGAGTGTGGGCATTGTTAGTCTAAAGGCCATCTGGGGAGCTCAGGAGGATGGGAAAACCTGAGCCCTGCTGGCCAGGGGAGGCTTAGGCTTTGAGGGACAGGGTGGGAGGGGTTGTTCATTCTTGTGACACTTCACACAAGACCCCAGGAGCCATGTGGCCTCCTTCCTGAAAGACCTGGAAATGGGATAAGGGTGGGGACAGTTTCAGAGGTGACGCCTACAGGATCCGTTCCATCCTCCCAGCCCAGGAAATAGCTGCAGGGCCCCCCGTGGGGCCATCCATCTGTGTACAGCGGGACAGGAAGGCGGCTGGCTGCTGATGGTGTCTGGAGCACATGACAAACAGCCCAGTCTAGACAGATGGAGAGCAAGGGGCCTCTGCCCCGGCACCCACTGCTAAGCCCAGCCAGAGACAACCAGGTCGCGTTCTGGACCTGGAGAAGCTACAGCCACATGGAAGGATAAGGCTACCTTGGGCTGGTCTGGGTCCAGGCAGCCGCAAAAGCTGGACTACAGCCCGGGCAAAGCTTCACTCCAGTCCTGCCTGCTCTTCTCAGGCTGGGTGACCTCCAACGTGTCACCTGACTGCTCTGAGCCCAGGTCTGTGAGAGACGTCAGGGCAAGGTCTCCTTGCCCGGATGGCAGGGATCCAGGCCTCCACAGAGGGCAGCCCGCCCAAACCTTCAAGACCAGATGCATCGCCTGGCCCGCCTCTGCAGAACTCCAGGTGTGTCCCGCCCGCCCTGACCTTGGCACACCCACCTCGCTGCCTTCTGGTGTCCCTGCCCCTGGCACCGTCTTGCCCAGCCTTCAGGGACCCGTCCTTGTGACTGTCTGTCCTGTTCTGTGATGCCCGGGGCTTCCTGGCAGCAGATGCCGAATTCTCAGCTCCTCTAGTGTGCACCTGCCCTGTCAGTGCCCACGGTGACCACTGTGTCCAGCAGCCCCCACCCCTGGCCAGCACAGTCCATTGTGTCATGTGCTTCCCACCCCTGCTTATTCGCTCCTGAGTTTGCCTCTTTAGTGTCTGTGTCTCCCTAGAAGGGGAGCTCCATGAGGGCACAGAGCCTGCAGCCGACTTGCTGCTGTCTCCCTGGGACTGGCAGGTAAAGTGGCTTGATGAGTTCTTGTCAAATGGAGGGACAAGCGGATGGATGGATAAGTGGATGGATGGATAAGTGGGTGGATGGATAAGTGGATGGATGGATAAGTGGATGGATGGATAAGTGGGTGGATGGATAAGTGGATGGATGGATAAGTGGGTGGATGGATGGATGGACCATTGAAAGAGATATGGCCAAATGAATAAATGATGTGGCTAAGATAGAGTACAGTTAAGTGGAATCAGACCAGGCTGGTCCTGGATTCTGGAAGCTTCCTGGCCACTCTTGTCCTGATCCCTGACCTGACAGCTGAACGGATCATCAGAGGAGGGGCCCAGGTTTTCTCACAGCAGAGTCCAGTACTCCAGGCCCTCTCCCTCCCCTTTGGGTTCACAAACATCACTAAGTCAGCTCCGTGCTGGGCACCTGGCCTAGGGCTTGAGATGTGGACCCACCATGCTATGACCGCATCCCCAGAGAGCTTGACGTCTGGAGAAGAGACAGACACAAACACAATGCAAAGACAGCGTGCTGAGGGTGCATGTGGTGTACAGAAGCCTTAGGGAGCTGCCATTTGTCCCAGCTCACCCTCAGTGCTCCCAGTTCATGGCTGTGCCCGTGGCCTTAATGCCCCCTTTACTGGCGAGGGCCCAGATGGACGTCAAATCATCCAGTGGCCCTAATGTTAGAGGAGCAGGAGGGTCACATGTCCCCACTCAGAACGCAGGGGAGGCTTCCCGGAAGTGTGGTGTCTGTGCCTTCCAAGGGCAGTGTGGGTGCGGAGGAAGGGGTGACCGTCTCCAGCACAGTCAGGTCAGTCTAAGAAGAACCTTGAAGGGAAGGCAGGACCCTCCCAGGGAAATGGAGCCAAGGCAGGGTAAGGTACAGAGGCACAACCTGGGCGCCATGAAGAAGGAACCCCCATGCCAGAGGGCAGTAAGGAAGCTGAGGCGGACAAAGACACAGAGCGGCTGAGACAGGGCAGTGACAAGCGGCATGGCTTTAAAGGGCTATGACGAGGGGCGTGGCTTAAAGGGCTGTGACGAGGGGCGTGACTTTAAAGGGTTGTGACGAGGGGCGTGGCTTAAAGGGCTGTGACGAGGGGCGTGGCTTTAAAGGGCTGTGACGAGGGGCGTGGCTTTAAAGGGTTGTAATGAGGGGCGTGGCTTTTCCTCCGTTGCTCTGCGGGGGATTGCAAATGGATTTAAGCAGGAGAGGGATGATATCAGACGTACATGAAAGACATAAAACTGACAACTGAGAGGGGACCAGGCAGCAGGGGTGGGGGTCCAGGCTGAGTAGGGGACACACAGGAAGTCGCTGCAGCTATGCAGGGAAGAGGGAAGAGCTGGTGCAGCCTCCAAAGAGAACAATGGCGGGAAGGCTGCAGGGGAGGATCTGAGGGCTGGGGGGAAGAGGTAGCGTAGAATTTGCAGTGGAACAAGGTCAGATCAGGAAAGGAAGAAGTCGGGAGCCTTCACAGAGGGGAAGGGTAGGAAAATAAAACGCAGGCACCTGCCAAGAAGAACAGAAGGACCAGGATCCTGAGAGGGGGCTGTGGATCCTGAGAGGGGGCTGTGGATCCTGGTGGGGGTCATGGATCCTGGGAGGAGGTGGTGGATCCCGAGAGGGGGCTGTGGATCCCGAGACGGGGCTGTGGATCCTGGGAGGGGGTCGTGGATCCTGGGAGGGGGCTGTCGGCAGTTGGCCCTGGGATGGAAACAGGGACGTATCACGCATGTAAAAAGGACTCCCAGGGGCCGATGGGTAAACTCCCAGGTTTGCATTTCCTGTGTTCATCTCAAATTAAATGTAGATGGTGAGAAATGATGATCAAAGTTCATTTTGTCTGTTTCTTTCCCACGCATATCCAGTTGTTCTGGTAAAACCCCTTTCCCATTGGATTGCATTGGCATCTGTATTGTGAATCAACTGATTGTATAGGGTGGGTTGACTTCAAGACTCTCTTCTGTTGACTGCTCTATTTCACTGTCCTTCTATCAACACCACACTGTCTTCACTACTGCAGCTTTACATTAAGTTACGATATCAAGTGGTGTTACTCTTACACTTTCATATTTCTTCTTCAAGATTTACATTTCCGTATAAATTTCAGAATCAGCTTGACAGTTTATCCAAATGTCTACTGGTTTTTACTGGGGTCGCATTTACTCTATTCAGTTACTGTGGATCAATTTATGGAGAACGGACATCTTTGCAACACTGAGTTTACCAATTTATGAACATTGTTTTTCTCTGTTTATTGTGGTCTTCTTCATTTCTGTCTCTTCTAGTTTTCATTATAGGTGTGTTATACATTTCTAGTAAAATGTATTGCTAGTTATTTAAGGCTTCTCAATGCTATGTAAAAATAGTCTTTTATTTGCTTTTTCCAATTGTTCATTGATAGTTTGTATATTTTTATATATTGATAGTTTGTATTATTTTTGTATATTGACTTTGATTTTTTTTTTTTTTTTTTTTTTTTTGAGACAGAGTCTCGCTCTGTCCCCCAGGCTGGAGTGCAGTGGCGCAATCTCGGCTCACTGCAAGCTCCGCCTCCCGGGTTCACGCCATTCTCCTGCCTCAGCCTCCCGAGTAGCTGGGACTACAGGCGCCCGCCACCTCGCCCGGCTAATTTTTTCTATTTTTAGTAGAGACGGGGTTTCACCGTGTTAGCCAGGATGGTCTCGATCTCCTGACCTTGTGATCCGCCCCCTCAGCCTCCCAAAGTGCTGGGATTACAGGCGTGAGCCACCGCGCCTGGCGACTTTGATTTTTTTATATTTATCTAACAGCTATCCTATGAACTTGCTACATTAATTTATTCTAATAGTCTTTTTGAAAACTGCTTAGGATTTTTTATGTATACAATCAAATCATTTGCATGACATGAAATAATTATTATAAATCGTGAATAATGAATAATTATTATAAATAATAATTTAAAATGACACATGATTAATACTTATAAATATAAGAGTTAGGAAATTTTAATAATTAATATTAACACATGATTAATAGTTATTATAAATAATAATAATTAGAAATAATTTTACTAATTCATTTCTGGTCTTTGCACTTTTTGTTCTTTGCTTTA